AGTACGACGACGACGAACGAAGAGAGAGTAGTAGTAGTGTTAGTTAGTTCGTTACGTTATTATAGTGTGTGTAGTAGAGAGAGAAGAAGAAGAGAGAGAGAGAGAGAGAGAGAGAGAGAGGCAATCACGTTGTTGCAATGTACCCTATATCCTTGGACCGATCGGTAATCATTTTTTTTTTTTTTTCAATTCCCTTTAGAAAATATGAAAAATATGGAACAGGTAAATTGGCAAGTTTTATATTTTGGGTGATGATAATTGTCCTTTCAGAAACTAGTATTGTTTTGTCATTTCTATGCATGGAGTTCTTTTTGGTTACATCCTTTTTATCTATTTTTCTCAGGCTCTCTCTCTCTCTCTCTCATTCTGATTTTACTTGTAAAAAAATAAAATGGATTCCACCGGGGATCGAACCCAGAATCTCTAGAAAAAAGAACCCCAAAAGACACGCACAACGCACGCCTCGGACCTCCTCCCTCTCTCTCTCTCATGTATGTGCTTGACCGCAATATTAACTTTGAGGGTGCGGTTTGTATAGAGCTTAGGCTCTAAACAATCAAATTAGAGCTTACCTTCAAATACTGTCAAAAAATGTGGTCTGACACTGAAAATTTTTGTGATAGTTTTAAAATATATTTTTATCTTTATTTATAAATTTTAAAGCTTTAAAAATAATGTAGATCGACGAATCTATGAAAACTTGAAAATTGGCTGTTCAAAAATGCATTATAAAATACAATATTTCCAAACTTGAAAATTTGACGGTTCATGCATCTTGATATTGAGATGATCATAATCTCTTTTAGTGAATGTTTTTTGGCAGGCTTTAATTTGATTGTTTAGACCCTCGGCTCAAGTTTTCTTTGATACTATTTATTTTCAAATTACAACCTTTTTTCCAAGTATATTTTTTTTTGGGTGTGGTTTGTGTAGAGCCTAGGCTTTAAACAATCAAATTAGAGTTACTTTCAAATAGTGTCTAGAAATGTGGTTTTAATACTGAAATTTTTGTGATAGCTTTAAAATATATATTTTTATTTATTTATAAAGTTTAAAGTTTAAAAAATAGTGTAGATCGATAGATTTGTAAAAACTTGAAAATCTTGAAAATTGACGGTTCAAAAATGCATTATAAATGAAGTTTTGAGCATCCCCTTTCTTTTTAAATGAAGCCCACGTGACATATAATGTGTCGGACAGGTTTTGTTTTAAACAATAAACATCTGGCTCATGTGCTAGATTGATTCTAGACTATTGAGTTATGCTAGAATTGTTTTATTTTATGGTAAAGTGTATGATGAGATTATTTATTTTTGATACAAGATGATCACAATTAATCTTGACCATTGAATGTAAAATTGGGTGGTTGTACTAATTTCATTGGCCAAGTCAAAGTTTAAAAGTAATTTTTTCGACCTTTATGACATGTCCAAGCTATTAAATTTCACATTAGATGGTTATAAGTAATTGTGACTTCTTTATACAAAAAGTAAATAGTCTTATTGTATACAATCCTTTATTTTAAACAACGAGGCCAGTTAGGAATATGGTGTGCTGGATTGGCTCTTATCAAAACCAGTCCGTGGCTCTATTAAAATGAAGCTGGCTTAACGCAATGCATGCCAAATCAAGGTTTGGTTCCTATTTTTTATTTTTTTTTCCTTTGAGAGAAATGTGCGTTATAAGGGGGTATTTTCATCTTAAAAAAATTAGTTTACTATTTAAAAAGATGGGTGCAAAAATAAATAGCATGTTAGTGGTGTGGTTTAAAACATTTAAAGAGTCGTCGTCATCATCATCAAAACCTTTTTTTAATTAATTAGAGTCCGCCTATATGAATATATTCTACAACATTAAAGGTCACATCTTCAATTCAATGATAAAAGTAGGTTATCTATCATTTTCCTAAAGCATTTAGGTCTTGTTCAAGTCCATAACCCTCTTTCACAAAAACACGGTCAAGAATGGTAACCCCACTTTCATGCACACATGCCGTGTGCGCACTGTTTATGGTCCCATTATAACACGCACTTCTCGTTCATCGTTAGAGACCCATTATGACATTCACTTCTCCTTCAGTTGAGCTTCCTTAGGGTGGTGAATCTCTCTCTCTCTCTCTCATGACCCTATCAGTCAATTGGGTTATTTTTGAAGCAAGTAAAAAGCAGGTTTTCTTTTTTTCGCAGTGTTTTCGTAACAACCCGTAGGGGTAGCCATTGGGCTCGGTCAACATTTGGTATGGGTCTCGTTGTTGGACCTGGCGAGTTAAGTCGGATCCAGGTCTGGGTCTGGTGAAGGTCCAAATAACTTGGACTTCACCTGGTCAGGGTCGGGTTTAACCCGGTCCGACCCGACAATATAAAACATGTTATAAATAAGTTAAAGGGTGTGGTTTCTATAAACAATCAAATTAAAGTGTACCTCCAAATTTGATCATATCATGTAATTTTAGTGTAAAAAATTCTTAGGATTATTTTAAAATTTATTTTCATCTCTGATTATAAAATTTGAAATTTTAGAAAAAAGGTCAAAATCAAGTAGATCTATAGACATATGAAAATCTTGAAAATGAATGGTCTAATAATATGTTGCAAGATGCACTATTTATGGAACTCAAAATCTTTTTTTTTTTTTTTCATATTCATACATCTTGATGTGGAGATGATCGATTAGAGGTTTTTCAACATCACAACAACCTTTTCTAATGGATTTTTGAGGTGCATATGTAATTCTACATTTCAAGATTGCAACCTTATATAAAAAATTTTCTAAGTCAAATGATATCAACTATACATTATAAAATATCTTAATATATAAAATAAATATTTTACTTTCTTTATTTTTGGAGCCAAACTTTACTTACATAGGAGGTTGAATACATATCTAAATGACTTGGATCCTACCTCAGACCAGATCCAAGTTAGACCCAGTAAAGGTGGGTCTGACCCGAACTCGGCCCCAACCGTTGCTATCCCGAAACGGGGGTGGAGAGATGGCCTTCACCATGAATAACGTGGCACAAAAAGCCACCCCAAGTTTTTGCCTTTGAATGGATGGGGAAGAGAAAGGAATCCTTGGTAATGGGTCCTTTCGACGGCACGGCACTTTAATTTGATGCACGTGGGTTTTTTTATTTTTATTTTTATTTTGGTGTAGATGTTGGAGAATACATGTTTTATCCATTTTTAAAAATAGTCCATGATATTGGTAGCTGAAGCTCAAGTGATGCTACCACTACAACCTCAACAAAATAACCAACATGTTGTTTCTTGTTTTGTATATAAAAGAGCCATTTGTAATATATAGAACCACTATTTTTCTTCATCTTCTTTAAAAAAATAAGCTGGACTCGGGCGAGTTACTCGGACTCGCTCAAATAAATTGTCTCAGTTAGGTCCCAAGTACTTTGGCCAAGTCGATTTTTTTAACAATAAGTGCTACATTTTACACAGGTACCGACTTACAAGCTCATAGTGCCATTACATTGGATCTGTAAGGTCTGTAGCACTGGAAAGCAATATCGAACTAATTGATCTTTGGGGATTCTTACCACCACGGACCCAGCAGATCGTAGCAGAAGCATTCTAGTTATAAAAATAAAGAAGGGAAAAAGAAGAAGAAGATATTAGGATAACATTGTAGGTATTTTTCAAAAATTGCAAAATAGATGGGATAGTTTAATGAATCACCGGCCCATGAATTGGCACATTACTGACCGACTCCCACTCCACATCGAATCTTCCTTAATCATCAATGGCAACACACGTGAATTTCTGGATTGAAGAATAGATCTTTTCTGGTATTCACTTTAACTTAGAAATAGGTTAAGGCTTTATAGAAAAAAAAGAAAGTAAATCCTCACCTAAAAAATCATTAAGAATTATAATTCCGGCCTTCAAAAAGCATTCAAATCAATCAGTTAAGATCTTGATGATTATGGTTGTGAAAGAAAAAAAAAAAAGGTTTCCAAACCTAAAATAGTGTAGATTGTAACACATTATCTTGACCTTTATTTTCAAGTGTCCACAAATCCAAGATGTGTACCATTTTTTGAGTTATAAATTTCATGAATAAGTGGTGGAAACATATTTTAGAGCCACTTTAAGGATGTCCGATGGTCGAAGTATTTTCGAAACAAAATTTCAAGGTGAAACTTCACCTCTTTTTTTTTTATAAAGGAAAAGGTTTCTAAACTTCTCTTATTGTATAGAAGATATATACTCCTTCCATCTAGCTGTCTAATTTAGATCAAGTGAGCCACTGGCCATTTGATCTTACATTCGACGCCTTAGAGTATTTTATTTTTAAAGGATGAGGTGGTCTGCAAGTTGAAAATGACGGCGTTTTTTTGTATTAAATCTGCGTATAATCTCATGTATCATGATTGAGTGAGATGGTCTCGAGTCGCCTTGTAAAGGTGATGGTGTTGGAAAGTTCTATTCAAAATCAAAAACTTTCTGAGGATTCTTTTTTGAGGTAAAACACTAACTATTGATAATTTGAAGAAAAGAGGTAGGATCATGGTTAATATTTGTATGTTGTGCAAACAAAGTGATGAGGTAGGAGATTATTTGTTTTTATATTGTTAGTTATCTGTTGAGATTTGGAATTGCCTGTTTCATAAGATGAGGACCATACGAATATTATTAATCAAATAAGTATGGATGGTTTGCCAAAGTTTGTGATTCAGCAGTGCTTTGGGAGATATGGTTGGAAAGAAATAGACGCATTTTTTAAGGTCCAACACTGGAAGTGGAATCGAGTTCTTAACACGATGTGGCGATGGTTTTCAGTAACCAAAGAGGGTTTTGGAACTTCAAGATTTGATATGCACGTTAATTTGTCGAATTTGATGAATTAAGGGAGGGTGAAAGTGAGACCTAAAGAACGATGGATGTCTCCTCAAATGGGATGTTTCAAACTCAATTTCGATGGTATTTCTTTGGATAATCCACTTTTAGCTGGCTTTGGAGGAATTTTACAGGATTCCTCAGGAGCAACTATTTTCTGCTATGTAGGACCGGGCGGCATTTTGTCGACTAATGAAGCAGAAATGGATGCGCTAGAATGAGGAGTGCAGCTCAAGGGGGATTGCATATTTAAGGGAGATTGTTTAAATGTGATTAATTAGTGCAATTCTAATGCTAGACCCCAACGGCGTTTGAGAATGAAATTGATGAGAATTTTGGATCAATGTTCGAGCTTGCAATTTTCCTTCTAACATGTTTATCGAGAAGCAAATTATGAAGCAATAGTATTTGCCAAGAGGGGTGTTAAATTGCATGACTTTGCAATTTTGATGTATTTCCTCTTTGATTTGCTGATCTCAACCTTTAAATCAATAAACAGTAACATTATAAAAAAAAAAATTTGTTTTGACAAATTATATGAATATGAAATTTGGTACGTGCTATCATCTCAATGGGGCACACCTAAAACAAAGATTTTTTTTAAAAAAAATCCATAAAATGGCATAACAAAAAACTTTCAGATGTATTTTGATCATTTTATTTTATTGATAATATTTGTTTTATATTATTTATAGGTGCTAGTATAAAAGAGGAGTAGATGCACAAATTTTGGTGTCGTATTTTAGTCATTTTATTTTATTGAGGAGGAGTAGATGCCCAAATTTTGGTATCAAAATGTTTTGTAAAAAAAAATTAAATTTTAAATAAAATGGTATGGAGATTTTTTTTTTTTTTGGAGAGTCAAATAAGTAGAAAAAGGGGCTTTCACCCTGAGTTGGGAGAAAGGCCCTTGACCCTTAATTGGAATTGAGCCTACGATATAGGGTTACAAATTGTCAAGTGCGAACCAATTAGGCTCAGGCTCAGGCTCAGGCTCAGGCTCAGGCTCAAATAGAATAAAGACGAGACAATGTGATTATGACCATCTCCCTTCTTCATTCAAAAGAGTAGAGTTGGATTGGAAGAGGTATATAAGTTTTAGAGAGTAAAATAAGTATATAGTAAGCTTGGCCCATAACCCTTACTACTTACAAACTGCATCTAATTTTAATGAAGAAATAAGGTTATAGGATATGTTTGTAATTCACAGTAAGCCCTAATCGAAACTTATGCCATTTCTAAACCCCGTATATATTTTCCACTCCCATTCTCACCGAGCACAAACACACTCCAATGGCTTCCTCACTCTCTCTAACCCTCCTCCCCATCACACACAACGTACGTGCACAATCCACACGCGCCAATGCCTCCATAACCAGGAGGCAGGCCCTATGGGTGGCGACCACCTTGACCACCGCTAAATTTGGAGAGGCCGCCGGTTTAGCAGAGGATATTCCACTTTTCGGGATAAGGAGGCTGAAGAAAGTGGAGGAAGAGGCTGAGGAATTGGTGAAGGAAGGGGAGAAATTGGTGGAGGAGGGTTTAGAGGTGGTCAAGGAAGATGTGGAGAAGGGTTTCGGCGGCGGCAGCGGAGCGATAAACGTAGCGGCGGATTTGGGACAGGCGTTGGGGGTGGCGGGGGCCGAGGTGGTGGGTTTGGTGGTGGCTTCCTCAGTTGTGAATGGGATTCTAGGGCCTGAGGCACAAAAACCATGAAAATCAAAGGTTTCTCTCTCTAGACTTTCAAAGTTCTCTCTCTAAACTTGGTAGGTCTCTCTCCATTTGAGGGGATAAGGAATTCGTGGCCAATTTTCTTCTCTCTCAATTATTTAATGTGATTGTGTGTCTCTTGACCTCGATCTTTCATTTCAATTATTATTATTATTATTATTTTTAAAAAATTATTTTTAATCTTATTTAGGATGTGGGATAAGGTGCCTTTTTTTGTAACGAGAGGTGGCAATGGGTGCGTTGGGGTTGGTCCGGTTCCACTTGCACTTGGGCATATCACCTAGACCGACCTCGAGTCTAGGGTTTTGAACCTAACCCATTAGTCGAAAACTTGGACCTGGACCTGGACTTGACTCGGTTTGGGTGTAGGTTTAGAATCTAACAATTTTTTTTTGAAAAAATATTTGCAAGGTATCTACACACATATCATAAATTTGTCAAAATATTATATATATATATTTAAAAACAATATACAATACGACCATTTACCTTTTGGTATAAAGTAATAACAATTAATCTTGACTTGAAATTTATAGCTACATTTATTTCATTGATCAAACTCAAATTTCAAAAAATAAATTATCGGACTTTATGACACACCCAAACTATCATCATATGGTTGTAACTAATGAAGACGTCCTTTTATAAAAGGTAAAATAATGTCATTGTATACAATCCCATATGTTTAATATATAATATGTGTGTAAATATGTTTAGGTCAGGTTCGGGTTGGAGTTGACCTGGACTTAGACTTGACCTAGATCTTACTCAGTGCCGGGTTTTGGACCGGGACTGTGACCCGATCTACCATGCCAAAACCTTGAACTGACCCGAACCCAGATCAAGTTGACCTACCGGGTCTGTCTCTCTCTCTCTCTCTGTCTGTCTGAGGAGATAAGGAAATCGTGGCCCGTCCATAAAGTACTACTTGGCTAGTAAGTACATTTTTGTGCTGTGACAGTGTAAGTGAAAATCTCAACAATCAAGCCGGTGGAAGTACATTTTATATTTATTCCCTCGATTAAAGTTTAATTCAGGAGTATTTTTAAGACTTTAAATTTTACCCATATAACCTCTTCAACTAGTCGACTAATCTTAATAGAAAAATTCCTGAATTTCATTTCTATGGACTTGGAAAACAGAAAATAATGTTTCAAGATTGAATAGAGACCGTCTAATTTTTGGAAGGTGAGATCTAAGTATCGGACAACTTAAAATCTACTTTTTTCATTTTTTAAAAACAATTATCTAGTTATCGTTATGTGGTTCCCAAAATTTTAAAACAAAAAAAAATACCGGCAAGTGGATCATCGACCTATGGGAGTAAGTGTACAATGTGCTCCCACAAGAGCATATTATACGTGCTCAACATTTTTTCTGCTCGCTAATAAAAAAGTTGTTGGTGCATGAGGAACAATTGATGAGTGGAAAAAAAAAAGAGTTCTCAATGAAACGTATATATGAATAAAAATTATGAAAAAGTTTATATAAGGTTACAGAATTAAAGGAGCACTTCAAAAATCCATCATGATAGGTTGTTTTGAGGTTGGAATTTCCTCTAATTGATCATCTCCACATCCAGATGTATAAATATAAAAATGAAAAAAACTTTTAAGTCGGAGAAATAGTGTATCTTGCATCACATTATCTTGACCGTTCATTTTTAAAATTTTCAGATATTTGTGGATCGACTTGATTTGAACTATTTTTAAAGTTTAAAGTTTTCTAATTAGAGATAAAAATAGATTATCGAGCCGCCTAAAATATTTTTATTCCAAAATTATATTTATAATAAAATTTAGAGGTACGCCTCAATTGGTTGGTTTGAGGTTGCAACCTTATTGAAACCTCATCCTAAAATTTTTTATCGATGAGACGGTTCTTTACCTTGGGCTATATAGACTACTAACATGCACTTGTAGGGGGAATTCCACATTATGTATTATCTCTCATAATATTTTTTTGTTTTGGAAATAATGAATGATAGAGCCCCCTAGGGCTTTAAAATGCCAAAAGTAGGGGTGTAGGACAGCAGGCAGAGGGCAGGAGCCAGAAATTGATGTCTATGTTTCATTCTCACCAAGTCTCAAAATTAATATTAAAAAAAAAAAAAAAGTTTATATAAGGGTGAGGCTCTAAACAATCAGATTAAGGCGTACCTCAAACATTCAATAGAAGAGGTTTTTTTATGTCTAAAAATTCTCGTCTTCAAGACGTATGGACATGAGAAAAAATGGATACGAAGTCTTAAAAACAGTGCAATCTTATGATGCACTTTGTCCATCATCACTTTTCAAGATTTCCAAGTGTTCATAGATCTGTTCGGTCTACACTATTTTTGAAGCTTTAAATTCATAATTATACATGAAAATAAATTTTCAGATCATCACAAAGATTTTTAGTATCGAAACAAAATAGTTTGATACTATTTGAAGGTGTACTTTACTTTGATTGTTTAGGGCTCAGCCTTATACAAACTACACTCTATTACAAGAAAAAGAAAAATGTTTTGATAGGGCTACAACCCTATCAAAATGAGCAAAGTGTCCCCTAAAAACTCATGAAAATTGCATTTATGGCATAAGAAAACCTTCGAATCCATCATATCTCAACCTTGAATATTATGGTTGTGAAAAATTAGGATTTCAAGCCTTAAAAATAATATTTATTGTAGCACATTATCTAGACCGTCAATTTTGCCCTAACAATATATTCACATATCCACAAGATCTGTATCATTTTTTTAGCTTCAAATTTTATAGTCGGTGTTAGAAAATGATTTCTAGAGCCATCAGGGAAATCTGATGCCTAAAGTGCTCTCCGGACAAGAATTATAGGTGAAGTTTTATTTTGTTTTCGTATAGTTTAGGCCTTATAGAAATTGCATCAAAGAAAAATTCGGAAGTAACAATACATTTGAAATTTTTACAAAAATACAATGCCATTGTGAATAGAAGTTCTTGGAAGTTGAACTTTATTATTATTAATACCCTTGTTTTTAATAAAAATTTCAACTATACACCTATGAAGATTACAAAATATTCATTCGCATCACCAAGATAAAAGCGCAATCGGGCAAATCTACCCTTCACAAAATATTCTAACTTTAAACTTTGTATTTCGATGAGGGTAGACTATTCTATATACAAGGAGAATACCAATTAAATCCTCAAACCACTGTACAAAATTATTGATGGGGCTCAAATTATCCCATTAAACATTGTAATGTTTACTTCTTAAGTTTCATTATTCTTTAATACCTTGTCAAATCATTGTAATAGTTACTTCTTAAGTTTTATTATACTTTAATACATTATTAAAAAAAAAATTAAAAAATTTCAAATTGCTCCTATTCAAGGTTGAAAACCTGAACAACATTAAATTTTAGTAATTCGGCAACAATAAAGTGGCTATTGCCAAATAATGAAAATGCCTGAAAATGTGGTTGGTTGTTTAAGAATAGCAACATGAAACTACTAAATGGCTATGATACCCTGGTTGTTCAAGGATAGCAACATTTGACTCACTTTTTTTTTGTTGTAGACCATTGATTCAGCTTTTCTATCCCGTAACAATTATGGGTATTATCTTGATTTGGCTGGCCCCATTTAAGTAAGAAAAATTATCAAAATGGCCTTAGTTATTTAGGTTCCAACCCTAAACAATGGGTCATTTCTTAAAAATTGAAGAGGTACATTCGAAAAAGTAAATATTAAATAGTTGAACGGGATCATTTTGACCATGTGGTAAGGTGGTTCGAGGATTTAGGTGATATTTCTTTTTTAAATATCTTATACATAAAATATATTGGGTTAGTCGGGTGCGGACCAACTAGACAATGTTAGGATTTAAGAACTCTATTAGTTTTATGATACGAACTATATGAGAAATAAAATGCTACATTACAAAAATGTAAACATTTACGTAGTTCACTCCAAAAGAGCTATATCTGTGAACACTGCAAATTGAAATCTATTATGCATCTCTAAACATTTATAAAACTTAGTAATACAACCCTTTTGGACTATCTCCCCGAGCTTATCTCTATTACATAACTAAACTATTCTCGACAAAGAAAATCTTGAGGTCAACCAAGACTTTATCTCACTCAAAGAAAATACCACCCAAATTCTCTACAAGAACCTGTCCTCCACCTCTCAATCTACAAGATGCATCACCATAGTCTTTCTCTCCGTAGGAAGCTCACTTCTTCTTTTTTATAAAGTCAAATAACTTTAATTGATAGGAGTTGTAACATCATAGAGTTATGCATAATAAATTAAATTATTGGAGACATACAAAGAGGACAAAGAGCACCTAAGTTTAGCAAGTTGATTTGCTAGGACGTTAGACTCCCGATAGACATGAGCAAATGAAAAGTGAAAGCTACCGGTTTAAGAAATGTCCAACGAAATAGTATGAGGAGACCAGGGGACCCTTTGCTCCTTTTGACACCATTTATTGACATTGAAGGAGTCTCCCTCTACCAAGATATCACCTTTACTCCGAATGATCTCCAGGCCCTTAAAGCATGCTCATATCTCTTTATACGAAGGCATTGCCTCACAATGCACGAGACCCTACCACTCTCTAGAGGAAGCCGCTTTTTCCAAATAAGAAAAACACATATTTTCCCTATTATTTTGTAAGAGGTTATTAATATAAAAATCTCATACATGTTATATATATCTCAAAATTAATATATATAATTAAGACTCTTATTTTAGTTAAACTTCTATTTTCTTTATCTAATCTCAACCCTCCTTATAATAGGATTTTTATGGTGCAGTGAGTTTGCCTTCCAACATTTCTAACATACAATTTTAAAAAAACGAGAGCTTAATTAATAAGCGTTTAACGATTTGCAACACTACACCTTAAGCTCAATTCCTACTCAGGTTAGGGGCCTCTCCCCCACCCTCTTTTGCACAACATACTTTCTCATCTTTTCTTCTAAAATTTCCCTGTCCTTCCTCTCCTCTCCATCTAATTTTAGGTTGCTTTGCCTTTGCACAGCATAATCATTTCTCTCTACTTTCTCTTTCCACCATCCACTGCCATGTAAACTTCTCTCTCTAACACTTGCCAACAACTAACAATTCTCTCTCTCTCTCTAACTTTGCCATCACCATCAATTTTCTCTCTCTAACCCTCCTCCCTCTCTGGCCAAGGAGACATGATCAGCATGTGGGTCAGTGCTGGTTCTGCCTTCTCTTAATTGCCAAATAGTGGTAGCAATAAATGGCCATGCATCCTCCCTACCTGTAAAGCCTGCCTAAATTGTTAATGGGATTTCCATTATATTTTAATGGTGGTGAGTGAAATTGTTTCCATATGATTCAGAGCGACTCTGCACATCTTTTAACACTCGCAGACAGCATCCCGGCAAGAACCAGAATCATAACAGTTTTTTAGAGAAAACCCATTTCCCATTTCCCCTTAGAATACTGGTTTTTCCTCTTTGTTAAATGTTCTTTGCATATATTATCTTATGTTTTTTATTTGCAAAACATGGGTACGTGTGGGAATTCAATAAGGTATTCCTCCAGGTACAGATCTGCAAATTAATTGGCAAATTTCAAAATTAGATTCTCAGAGGCCTTATTATACAAGTAACTCTCTCTCTCTCTCTAACTCTCTTTCTCTCTCTAGAAAGATGGAGAGATGTTGGCATACATATAGTATCATTTACACGTAAACACACACAGATGCATGACACAGTTATTACACAATATTAAATACAGAGCGAGAGAGAGAGAGTGCAAGTGGGACAATTAAACCTGAAGAGATAGCCCTGAAACCGTGTGAAGAGGCAACCATGACAGCAAAATGTGGAAGTACTAAAAAACTGTTCAAAAACGTGGAATTTTGGGTCTACTTTGGATTTTAAGTAAGAGAATGTTATCCATTTATTTCGTAATGATGTGGTTCCTTAAGGTAGAAGAAACATGAAGATGGTAGGTAGATGTTTACAAATATCAAGCCTTTTGTAGTTAAAAGTACTGTAAATTCCGCAGAGAGAGAGAGAGGTGAGGAGAGGAGTGGAGAGCGACTAGAATTTCAGGTTTGAGAGGTAGAGAGCTCAACAAAATTCAATGAAGAGATCCAATAATTTAGGAGTCAGGGGATTCACTTTGTTCAACTCTGAATAAAAGAGCCCGGAATTTTCATTGAAGTATTTAAGTAACCAAATAAGCCATAGGTTATTTAAAAAACAAAGTTAACAACTTAAACAAATCTGAAATTGGGTGCACGATTTGATTCTATCGAATTTAAATTGCAGGAAATTAGATTTCTTTCAGAATGAACGGTACACCAGCAAACGACACAATGCATAAAAGTCACATAGGCGTTGAAGGAACCAACGATATTAGCATAACACTGTGTGTCTGCAAAGTGGGTGTCCATCAAATCTGAATGCAGTCAGTGTAATACAGTTCACCATTATAGTTTCTGAAAACAAAGATGGTAGTTCCTTTAATCGAACACTTCTAAGGCCTCATGCCTGGGGGACCTTGAGAGAGAGAGAGAAAGAGTAGTTACATGAAAGATTAATAATTTCATATTATAGGCTAAAAACATTTATTTTCTCATAAACACTCAGATTCTACTTTTCCGGCTTCAAAAGAACACAGCACACATAAATGAAATCACGGAAACCATAGTTTTAATCAGTTTTTCAGAAAATCAGGCCCCGGCTCACACAATCCCACTCAGGCGATTCTCAACTGGATAGGTTTATATTTAACAAAGACATTAAGAAAAGACGCTAGAAACTGCAGATCCGGGGATCTTCGAACCATAATCTCCTAGAAGATGATCCAGATCTGACTTGGGTGACTCTGAGTTGGATCAATAACTGGTTATAGTATGAAGATTTCACATGAAAACTTATCCATCAGCTCAGGATACTCGAACCATATCCAGATAAACTTATCAATCCAGTTACAAATTGAACGGGAACCCAAGCTTCTTTCAATGATTTCGAACGGGAATCCAAGCTTCTTTCAATGATTTCGAAGAAGAAGACACACAGGCTATGTAGAATGACTCAGATTTTTGCTTACCTCTCTTTCTAACACACACTAAGAAATCAGTAAAATTTCATACATTTGCTGAGAATTAAAGCAGGACAAGCAATTCAATAAAACCAGGTTGTTTAAAACAAATTATGCAAGGTACCATAAAATTGAGAGAAATGAAGTGAAGTGAAGAAAAGAAATACAGCAACCGTTCAAAGACACAGGAATTGATTATAACCAGGTTATTATAAAGTCATTTTCTCTCGAGAAAGTAAAACAACAGATGATAAATCATTTCAGCATTGAGAAGGAAAATCATGAGAGAACAATGACTCTTGTAGACTTTTAGTACCAGATGGAAATTATTAGGCAAAAGGAGATAAAAGGATCAATGGCGTTGAGAAAAACCACCGTAGCCCATAAATATTTAGCTCTCGATTGGAAGATGTTAGCAAACATCAAATTTGTTCTGTGATATAACTTTCAAGCATCAACTTCTTATCAAATCTCAAACTTTGCAAGCAGGTATATTGTGTGAGTATGTGACAGAGAGAGTAGAGACGGAGAGAAAGAGAGAGAGAGTCTTGATCTTTCCATGCACATTCTCAAGAAACAAGGTGAGAGAGAAAGTGTTGATTTTTCCATTCAATGGCACATTCCAAAGAAACAAGGTGCAAAACTTTATCTTTCCATTAAAAGTAAGGATAATGCAAGCAGCTACATCATCAGTTCCCTTTGGAGAACATAAGGGAAAAGAAGAAGAAAAACAAAAAACTGTACAACTTTTACATAAAACTAACTCATAAACTCTGTAACTCAAGCCCACAACAAAAACAACGACACCCCATTCCAACTCTAACCACCCTCTGTACAATCACCATCCAATCCCCTGTTTCTCTCTCTAGAAACACCTTGGTTCTCTCTATCTAAGAACCCATTTTTCTCTCTCTAAAAACCCACTTCTAGAAAGAATTCATCTCCAAAATGTAAGTCTTCCTCTTCACCAATAGTCTAGCCACCTCCCCATAAGCTCCATCAAAAGCCATGGACACAAATTGATCAGCCTCCTCTTTCCCCATTGGTCTATCACTCGGCCTTATAAAAACCAAAGTAGCTCCTTTAAAACCCATACCGTTAGGAAGCTCGATATACGGAGCATACCAGAGCTTCATGCTCAAAGCTGGAACTTGGGTTCTATTAGCACTTGCAGAGGCTGAAATGGGTTTAACCCTAATTTCACTCAATTGCCCTGAATTCATAGAAAGAATTCCTTGATTATCACAATCGGTTACAGTCAGTCTCTCTAAGCCTGGGTGCTCTGAAATTATTTGTTGAAGAACAAAATGCCTAGCTGAAGCAGCAATTAAAGAGCTAATGGTCCAAACCACCCTAAGTTTGAGACCTCCATTAATATAGAAGCTCTCTGGTATGGTGCCTGATTCATCTTCTCCGTAAAAGGCCATATCAAGATCATCAGAAACCCTAGTTTTCTCTCTCACAAAACCTGGCTCGATAACACTGGAAGCCCCTAAAATTACGCAGCTCTCTAGACTGGTCCCAAATTCAGCTCTCCATTTGAGGAGAACCCCATCTCCAAACCCTAGCTCGCCATTAGGGAGTTGGATTTTCAGGGTCCTAATGCTTGAGAAACTCTTCAAAACCTCAACTGGAGAATGGTGGGTGACTTCTGAAACCCTAATCTTTTGAGGCGTTACAAGCTTATGAAAGGCTTCGAGGGACTTAACAAAAGAGCCCATCACCATTTTGAGGAGATGAGAGAGAAAGCCTCGGGTTCTAGAGTTTATTGGATCTTCATCATCAGTGATTACACAGTCTACTTTGATCAAAATATCTTCAACCATGGGGATGAGAGAGAAAAACCTTTTGGAAACAGAAAGGCAGAGCCCTAAGGATTTGATATCCTGAACCTTGTTAAATATAAGGAGGAGCACTGAGTCAGGGAGTCTTTCGAAGTGATCTGCGAGTAGGGGTAGGTGAGAGCTGACCTTACCTGGAAATGGCTCCATGAGTGGATGGTCCTAAGTTGCAGAGATCTGCAATAATGAATCGGTTCTAATGGTGGGTGCTGTAAAAATCAAATCTTCATGGAGTTGCAGAGAGAGACTTGCAGAGAGAGAGAGGGGAAAGTAGAGTAGATGGTAGAGGATTTAAGGAATTTCAGCGATGAAAAGTAGCGTGGAATTAAGTTTTAAGGAATTGTGTAGAGAGAGAGAGACTTTTGAGGTGGGTCTAAGAAGGAGGCGAAAAAAAGTAGAAAAAGTCCTAATCTTTTAGAGAGAAAGAAGATTTTCAGGAATTGAAGATAAATCGAAATACTGTGAGGTGGGTCTCCGTCTATGGAGGCGTCAAAGAAAAAAAAAGTAGAAAAAGTCTCTTCTAATATTGCTTAGAGAGAGAGACTTGCTCAGAGGGAAAGATAGGGAGGAAAAGTACAGTAGATTTATACTTTTAAAGGATTGCAGAGAGAGAGAGCCTGCAAAGTAAGCAAAAAAAAACAGCAAAAAAAAAAAACCAGAAAAAATCCTTTCTAATCTTTCCTAGAGAGAGAAAGAAGAGAGAGGAGGGGTCTAAGAAATGGGGCACAAAAGAGAGAGAAGCATAGTCCTTCAAGGAGAGAAAAGAAATTATAGAAAGCTTCTTCCTCTCTGTATTAGAGAGAGATCCGCAGTAAGGGTCTGAGGAATGAAGAGAGAGAGAGAGAAGCTAGATGGAGGGTCTGAGGATAGGGTTTCTTCTAGAGAGAGAAAGAGATGGGCTTGATGGAGGTTCTGAGGATTGGGTTTGTTCTAGAGAGAGAGGGAGAAATGAATTTCCTGCTCTCAGTAGAGAGAGAGAGAGAGAGAGAGAAATGAATTTCCTGTTCTCGGCAGAGAGAGAGAATTGGTCTGAGGATTGGGTCTCTTGTATTGATTGGGGAAGAGAGAGGGAAGGAGCGGGTCGGTCTCGGCTTTCCCCTGAGTTTAGAGAGAGAGAGAGAGAGAGAGAATATATCCAGAGTTTAGAGAGAGAATATACCCAGAGTTTAGAGAGAGAAAAGGACGAGACAGTGTCGAAGCCGTAGATGTAGCTCCGATCAAAATAAGTGTAGGGCTGATGTCATTAATACCCCTGCTTTTAGCGGAAATTAGGGTTAAGCCCTTCAACTTTTTGGACCAAGGAAAATGTGCTTTGCTTTTTTATTTGAGAAAAAGCTCAAATTGTAGTCTTATGATTCCCAAAATAGCCTCGATCTTTTTTAATAATGCCCAATAAGTTCTTTTTTTTAGTGAAAATTGGGCAAACATTGTTGCAATTAATCTCTGACGTCCATGTTCAGGAACGGACAGTGGATAGACGTCATTTCTCCATAAAATAGCCGCATTGTGTACAGTTAGGGAAGGTTATCTTAATCATTTAATAATATACATCAAATAAAATAGAAATTTTGTTTGGATGTGCACAGAGATTAATTATTCAAGAGGAATTTAAGCTGATATGCATTGTTTTTTTTGGGAATTAAAAATATTTCCCTGATTTACCATTGTGTCTTTTTTTAACTTTATTTTTCATTTTTTTTCTGGTTCATGCTTTTAAAATCCAAACCAAAAAATTAACGAAATTTGAAATTTTGAATCAATTTCTTTGAATTTCAGGTTTGGAATTTGAAAGTCCAGGCCCCAATCTTGATGTGTTTAGCTTGATATTTTCTCTAAGAATTTAAATAAATCAATTTGGAATTTCAAAATCTAAACCAGTTGGCTCGCAAAGAATTTCAATTTATGAACCAATTTGTTAATAGTTTTTGTTTGGCATTTAAAAAAAAGGAAAATTGGAATTAAATTAAAAGGTGAGGTTTGTATAAGGTGTATTCGTTATCCTATATAAGTAAATTTTTGTCAGAAGATGTAGTTCCGATGAATGAAACTTTACAATTGCCTAAAATCCATGTTTAATTCTAATTATAAAAATTAAACTTCTAAAAACAATACAGATCAAGCATATCTATAGAGTCTTGAAAATACAAGTGGAGATAATTCTTTACACAACACAATGTTATTATGACTTGAAATTTTTTTTTTATTATATTTATATTTTTCGAGTTGAGATATCCAAATAGAAAGTTTCCCAATTTCGAAACATTCTTTTTTTAGTTGATTTTTAACGTGTAACTTAATTCGATAAGATAAGATTGCAACTTCCAACCATAAATAAACTTTATTCTGGATTAAAATAGCATAGATTTAATTTCCAAAAACTACACAGCATGAGGGGGACTAGCGAAAATGAATAAAATTGCTATAAGTAAGAATAGGAACTAAAAGAGAAGGGTACTTGGGAGATTTTGCAAGAATGTAGGGTCGAGGGACCTTGTCTATCCCTTCGTACGTGGACCGTTAATAGGCGGATAAATTAAACTATTTTCTGACCTTTTCAAATTAAAAAAAAAAAAAAATTTCCGACCTTTTCAATTAAAAAAAAAAAAGAAAGCAAAATTTTCAAATAAGTTAATTCATTTAAAATTTCAAATAATTTTCACTTTAAATTAAGACAACCAATTTGTCGGGCAGAACTTTCTGCCTAAATTCACGCCTGATAAATTGATATTTTACTTTGCACAAGTGCTTCCCCTATGGATCTATTCACCCCCTTATCCAACCGTCCCTTTTGAATGGACGGTTAAGATTATCTCAATCACAATAGCACATCTCTATACTATTTTATTTTTAATTTTTTTCTCTATAAACTATTTTGATACCAATTTTTGGTCATCAATTCCTCTATTAAACTTGCATTAGTGAAAAATATATAAAAAAAAATTCAATTAATAAAATAACCAAAATACCATTGAAAGCTTCAAAAGGTATTTTGCTCATTATATTTTATCGAAAAAATATTTTTAATATTTTTTTATAGGTGTGCTCCAATGACAAGATAGCAAGTACCAAATTTTATATTCATACAATTTGTATAAAAAAAAAGTAAAAATAAAATACTTTGAGATGTTGGATTTAAGATCAAACGGTGAGTAGCTCTCTTGATCAAAATTGGACGGCTGGATGATAGAGGGAGGATAGAAATTCTATGTTGTAGGTGAAGCATAGAAACATTTCCCTTTTACTTTTAGTCCCCTTCTTAGACTTGAGAGATTATTAATAAATAAGGGAAAAGTTTATATGCTTCCCCTAGAGCATAGAAGTTCTATCCTGTCCCTACAATTCAGCCGTCCAATTTTGATCAAGAGAGCCACTCACCATTTGATTTTAGATCCAACGTCTCAAAGTATTTTATTTTTAGTGTTGTTATACAAATTATATGAATATGAAATTTGGTATGTGCCATCTTTTCATTGTGGCGCACTATAAAAATTTATTAAAAATAATTTTTCAATAAAATATAATGACCTCAATACCCCTTCAAAGTTTTAAGGGTATTTTGGTTCATTTTATTTTATTGAAAATATTTTTTTTATATTTTTCGCTAGTGTGAGTTTAATAAAGAAATGGATGTCCAAAATTTGGTGTCAAAATAGTTTATAGAAAAAAATTAAAAATAAAATAGTGTAGAGACGTGACATTGGGATTGGGGCAATCTTAGCCCTCCATTCAGAATCGACGGTTGGATAAGGTGGACGATAGAACTTATATGATGTAGGAGAAGCATAAAAAGCTTGCCCAATAAATAAAAAGAAAAAGTTTATACAGAGCAGAGGATCAAAACAATCAGATTAGAGCCTAACTCAAAAATTTTACTAGAATAGATTGTTTTGATGCCCAAAAGGAATTTCAAAACTCAAGACTACAAATTCACTAAAAGTAGAAATTTCCATGTACAGTTAAATCATAGTGTGAAAGTTGTAACTTACAACTTTGCAACAAAGATCACCATCATTCTATCCTTATTCCGAGTTTGCTATACGAATCATGTTTCGTAAGGGTGGTAATGGACCCAGACTTGATCGAGGACCTGAGGGTTAGACCCATTATGGGTCAAGGTATGAATTCAAAAATTGGACCGGAATACTATTAAGGTCTAGGTCTGGTAATATTTTTTGGGTCCTAATATATAAAATATATTTAAATATAGTTCAATACATAGATATTTTAATTTTTGGGTCGGGTCCGATTAGGTTCGGGTCTAGGTCCCATATTATATTTTCACATTAGCATCCGGCCAAACTAGAACGGACCCGACCCGTTGCCATCCCTATTGTTCTGCAATTTTTTACAATTAAGGGTTATTCTCTGAGTCAGACTACAAGTCGTCATATCTCTCTCACTACTTCCATTATTCTAGGTTAATGTTGCATATGAGCATCCTATTTATATCTATCTGCCTATTAGAACAGCCCCTAAGTTTTCTCATATGTATTCATTTTAAATTTTATCATTTTTTATTTTGCTACTCATCCATCTCAACATCCTCATGGGCAATGATTTCATGCAATTGTTGTATAGTAATATAATGCAACAACATTAAAAAATCATCTTATGGCCATTTGTTTGCTTCAAAATTTTCAAATATACACTCTTTTCATTCTAATGAACAATCACAAAAAAAAAAAACTTGAAAACACAACCTAGCAATTATTTTTTTAGCCCAATTAACATAGGCCATTCATTTTGGTGAGATGCTTAGATCTAGGCCTTAGAAGGATTTTTTCATTTCCAATTTTTTTGGATGATTTTATTATCATTAGATGAACAATGTTAATAAAAAAAAAAATGGTTTTGAGTTTATAAATGTTAAGATCTTGAAATTCACAAAATGAATAGTCTAGATTCGTTTTTCGATGGGACTCATTTTGACCATATCTAGGGTTCAAATTGAACGTTTTTTTTTTTTGGGAGGGGGGGGGGGGGGGGGGGGGGGGGATTGATTATTGAGATGGAGTGTGTGTTCAAAAATTGAGGTCATAGAAATACCACAAGCATCCTTAAACAATCCAATTAAAGCACACCTCCAAATTTTATCATAACATATAATTTTGTTGTAAAATATTTTTAGGATTATCTTAAAACTATTTTCATATATAACTAGAAAATTTTAAACGTCAAAATTCGCTAAAATCAACTATATCTATAAACATATGAAAATTTTGAAAATGGACAGTCTAGATAATGTGTTGCAAGATGCACTATGTTTGGAACTCAAAAACTCTTTTTTTTTAATATTCATATATCTCGATATCGAATGATCGATTAGGGGGTTTTTCAACATTAAAACAGCCTTTTCGATAGATTTTTGAGGTGCATATGTGATTCTACATTTTAAGATTGCAACCTTATATAAACTTTTTTCATATATATATATATATATATATATAGTTAAAATTGCATACATTTATAGTTAAAATTTTTATTTTTATTGCTTACGTAAAAAATGATTAAATTTATCATATAGTTGACCAAAGTTCTAGGCATATTTAACATAAGCTTTTTCATTGAATAATGTGATATCTTAAGATTATTTTGATACACGTCAACGAAGTTGGGAGATTTTTTGACAGCTATTCGGGATCGAGATTATAATGATATTATATTTTACAATTAATTGTATTTTGAGTAAGTTCAAAG